CTGCAGGCCCCCTGCCCCAGAGCCCCCGGAGTGGGTGGAGAAGGGCCCCCGGCACATTAGCACCCGGCTGTCAGGCCCCACCAGGGTCCCTGTAATGGACTCTCCAGACCCCAGCCAGCCGCAGGCCCCCGCACCCCACAGGGTTGAGGGGGCTGGGGGGCAGAGGAGCCCCATCTGCAACCCCCCCACACTCCCCTCTGCCTGCGGTGTCTCCAGCCCAATGGGGTCAGCCCCAGCCCCACACCTGAGCCCTTCCCCTGTTGCTGGACCCCAAATACCCACCTTTAACCCTGCGCTGTGGGGGCTCTCACAGGCACCAGCACAGGGGGCAGGCGATGCTCAGCTCGCACTGAGCCCCAGGGCTGGATCCGGAAGGTGCTGATGACCCCCACCCCTCCCCAGCCAGGGGACAGGCCCCAGGACAGGAGGTGTCTCTCCCAATACCTCCCTGCAATTGCTTTCCCACATGCTGTCCAGCCACCCTGCAGCTGCATGCCGTGGCCCCCAGCCCCTGCAGCCCAGCAAGGCGGCGTTGGATGCGTGCCAGAGCCCCTGCCCATGCCTGGCAGGATGTCCATGGCCTGCCCTGCTGCAGAGCAGGAGTTTCACCAGCTCGGCCATCCTCTCCTGGCCCCAAACCTGCTCCCGGAGCTGACGTGGTGGCCCAGGCATGCTGCACCCCGTCCCATGCCCAGCTCCTGCCACGGGAACAGCCACGCGGTGACACATGGAGGGGCACAAGGGTTTATTTATGTACAGTTGCAGCCGCCCCAGCACATCCAGCACAGCTCCAGGCTCACACAAGAGGCAGCTCGCCCCCCCCATCTCCCAGCTGTCCAAGTGGGGACACACGTCTCCCAAGCTGCAGGCATCCGGGCAGCGCGTCGTGGGGCCACGTGGCACCGGGTGCTCCAGCACTGGGGAGCTGGGGGCTCATCCAGGTCAGTCCTGGGGCTGCGGCGGAAGCAGAGCCTCCAAGAGAGAGAGCAGGTCTGCGGAGAGGTCCTGGGAGGAGCAGAGGGTGGGTGAGATGGTAACCGGCCAGGGCAGGGGTCCAGGGCAGGGCCAGGGTCTCGGGGGGTGCAGGAACGGGGCTGACGGAGCCCACCTGCCAGGAGGACTCCCGGTCAGGGACAAGCAGGACCATGGCCTCAGGTCTGCCCCAGCTGATGGGACCCCAACAAACACGAGGGAGGGTGGCACCAGGGAGGATTGGAGCAGGCTGAGGGATCCACATGCACCCACTGCAGGGAGGAGGGGGGACACCTCTCCGTTCCCACCCCCAGACAAAGTTGTTGTTACCCCAAAACCAGTCCCCGCACTGCCCCAAGCCAAAGGGACTCTGAGTGCACCGGGGGGGTTGAGCCCTGCCCCATGCCAGCCCCATGCTGGGGGCCACCTGGGCTCACCCCAACCCCTGCCAGCGCACGTACCTGGGTGACTGTCCCTGCATCCACGAACTCCGGCAACATCAGCCCCGCGTCCAGGAGGGGGTCGCCGGGGAGGTCCGGGGGGGCCCCTGCCCCTGCACAGTGAGGAGGGGACAGCCAGGAGGACACATTGGAGGCGACAGCCTCATGCAGCTCCAGGGGGGTCCCCGTCACAGGGATGTAGGGGGGCGACTCCCAGGCCCCCATCCCCATGTCAGGAACCCCAAGCACCTCTGGGAGGTTCCCCGCAGCAGGGCCACAGGGGGGTGACCCCCAGGCCCCTGTCCCCATGCCAGGAGCCCTGTACAGCTCCGGGGAGGTCCCCACCGTGGGAGGTGACCCCCAGCCCACAGTGCTGGGGGGCGAAGCATCCCGTGGGGCCGGGGCTGGTGGGTGCAGGCAGGGATCCGGGATCTGGCAGCACCCCAGGCCCTGGGAGCAGAG